TCATTCTTCTTGATTTAATCACCCTGACAACATTGGGAGAGGAGAACACATTTTTAAGCTCATCATTATGCAGTTTTGCATTATGTATGGAAGGTCTAGGATCTCTAATATCTTGAATAGATGTCTACATGGATTTCTATGTTGATATCAGCCATTAATCTGACAATTTTATTTTGCAAAGTAAATATTTTTTGCTGTTAGATGAATTACTCCCCATAATTATTCCAGACTTCATTACAAAGTAACAATAAGCAAAATAAACTTAACTTAACACTGTTCAGAATACAGAAATTTTAGTTAATCAGTACAGTAAACAGAAGCTACATAGCAATCAGTAAGTAAGCTGTTTTTTTGTAATCTAAGTGAATGCATCCTTCATTCCACTCTACAGCTTGGCATATCATTTCAGTGCAGTGAATAATGAGCAGAATGTTGGCAGAACTATGCCTCTAGCCTGGCAGTTCCCTGGAGGGACTGAAGAAAACCACAAAACACTGGTCCATTATAATTTATATGTTATTTGTAGGGGAATGTCTTTTAGCAGAGTGTGTTTCTAAATTTTAAGGGTAGTATTATTCATATCAGAATCAAGATTGCAGCAATCTCATAACACTCAAATCTTACCTGAGTATAGTCTAAGTCGACAGGGTAGAAACGTCCAGGAACTTTCTGAAAATTGTTTCTATCAAACCACATGTTTCCCGTCTTTTCCTCGTACATGCTCTCAAAGATTTGAAGTGCATTTTTCAAGGTTTGAACTTCCTCTAACTTCTTGCCTCCGATTGTGGTGCCTATGCGGCCCCATGACCGGAATAACCAATACCTGCAACACAATAAGCATTTCAATAGCAACCACAAGAAAGACACCAACGTCAATAACTTCAAAGTTAGGTTAATTAAGTCAGACCATTATTATCCCTTAACACATCTGGCCCATGGTGCCTGTGATGGGTATTGTAAAATAAAAAAGTTCCATGCAGTTATAATTCTATCGAATGTCACTTGCACACAATGTAGAAAAATTTAACTACTTTACTCCAAGACCAGGTCAGAGATAAAGCCACTAATTGAGGACTGAGGTTAGGGCTACTGCACACCTCATGAGGCAGTGACAGAAGAGTCATCCAGGCCAGAGTAAGGATCAACTACAATGCTGTCGCATCTGAACTGCGGACCACTTATTGGGGATCTTTTCCGAGATTGTTTCAATGGGGATCTTGGGCAAAGTATGTCAACGCTGCCCTCCACTGTGGGACCATTATGGCTGGTACTGCTGCATAACCAGACCATCCATAAAAGCATCATATCTTCTGGTGTATGTCTGTTCACGCTGGACTGTAATGGATTTGTCAGTGTGGAGACAGTGGATCCTTGAGATGGCAAAAGATGAAACCGGGAACTCTTTAGTAATTAATTCATGGGAGGTCCATTTTCTGAGGCCTTTATATGCACTTCAGAAACCAGTATCAGTGGGACAACGCGTTCACTACCTATTGGAGGCAGTCACACTGTCGCCGGTCTTCACGATTTGGTTCTGGCAGTCAAGGATCCAGGCGTCTCAGCACAACTACTATTGCTGTATAGCCATCTTCATTTAATAAAGGAATCTTTATACAGTCGACTGAAGATTGTTCTTGGGCTTTCATACTTAAACGCTGCCCTGCTCAATAGCTCCAACAGCACCAGATAAGATTGCATCCGCTCGGCAGATCTACAGTTCATATCCTGCACCAACTAACTTAGAATGTTTACTTTCTCATCTAGTGTCATCATGGTACAACTTTTCTTTACTTCATTATTACTCATACATTTATGTTTTGATTCCATAATGTTGTCGAAGAGCAATACCATAAACAGTAAAATAAGGGAACAATACAATACAAGTTACCATGACAGCGAAAGCGAGTCTGAGACTAAAGGTTACATGCAGTTTGTCAGATGAAGACAGGGTAAAAGACATGAGGAAATCTCATGATGATGAAACTTCCAAGGCGATTTAAACAAGGTTTGCTTACTTTGAATTGGATGTTCCACTAATTGTGGGTGCAGCTGATGGTGTATGAAGCTGGACAATTCTCTTCCTTG